TGAGGCCGTTCTTGTCCTGGTCGTAGAGGTTAAAGGCGTCGCGGAGCTCGGTGTCTCCGCCGTCGGTGGTGTCGGAGCGGCAGAAGGCGGCGAACTCGGAGAGGTTAATGAAGCCGTCGTGGTCGGTGTCGAGGTCGTCCATGACGCGCTGGAGTTCCTCCGGCGGGACGCCGGATCCGAGCGTGCGGAGGACGTTGTCCAACTCGTTGACGGAGATCTTGCCGTCGCCGTTGGCGTCGAAGCGGCTGAAGACGCGCTTGAGCTCGTCCATGTCTTGGAGGTAGACGGAGGATTTGGTGGTCGAGTCGGTGTTGGGGGCGGCGGTGGCGTCGCCGTTATCCACTGCGGTTTGATTGGCAGCCATTGTTAGATAGATAGAAGGATTTGGTTTTATCGGTGAACGGTAATCGAAATGCGTGAGGTGAATAGAACGGTGCCATTTGGGGATTTATATATACACCCCTCACCCGTGTTGTTTGGATTGATCGCGTGCAGAGTGGAGTGGACCCACTATTGTGAGGGAAAGAAAAAACGTTGATTTTTCTAATTAAATTTTATATATTTATTCAGTTGTTTTTATAGATTTTTTTTTTAAGTGTGTTGGAGACGTGTGGTAAGAAGATAAAAATTTCTTGTAAAAAAAAGGGTAAAAAATAGTTTTTTTTTTAATTAAACAGATATGAAAAAGGAAAATATAGTACAGGACTTAATTTAAGAATTTTAGTAACGTATATTTATTAGATTAGTGCTATTTTCTTTTTCAAATTTTAAAATTTATAATTAAAGTTACCTAATGTTATAAAATTTATAATTTTAATTCTATCGTTAAAAATCCACAAGCCAATCATGACTTAACATTAAATATATAATTATATTTAAAGTAAATTATATATTTTTAAAATTTTATTTTATTCAATAAAAATAATAAAGATAGATCAAAATTAGTTTTAAAAAATAATATATATATATATATAACATTATTTATTTAATGACAAATATGATTAATATTATAATTTTAATTATACATGATAAATATTTAACAATAAAATAAAAATTATAAATTTTATAAAGTTAAATTACAACTTAAATACATGAGAATTAAAATGCACAGTTTGAATATTATGAGAGGATTAAAAGTATAATTCAATTAAAATTTTATAGTTTTCAAAACTATTATAATATGCATAAAATACTTATTCCACCAATTATTTATTTATTAAATTAAGAAAAATAACCTTAGTTAAACATACTTTTTCAACAAAAATAAAAATTACAGACTTAAAGTTTTGGGAAAATTGTAGGTTGAATAAACATGTAATGTAATTAAATTAATATTTTTTTTGAAAACTATCATAACATTGATGAGATATTTATTCCACTAACTATTTATTAATTAAATTAAAAAAAATAACTTTAATTAAATTTAGACTTTGTAACAAAAATAATTAATATAATAAATACTTTAAAATATACTCATACAATGTATGAAGTATTTATTAAATTAAAAAAAAAATTGTTTAACATAGTTTTTGTAAAAAGAAAATAATTAATACAAAAATTATTTTGAAATATACCCATGTACGAAAAAAATTCATGTGTAGAAAATTATTTTTTAAATTATTTTAAAAATTAAAGATAAATTTTAATTATCCTTAAATGTAGTTTATTTAATTTTCACTAAATTTATTAAATTTTTCTAAACAAAATAATTAATTTCATTATTTTCTGTCAATATAAGATGATTAATTAAATTTTAACAAATTTATATAACACGATTAGTTCTTATAAAAATAATTTAAAAGATTTTAAGTATTATAAAAAGGACTGATTTTTTTTCATCTTTATGCTCAATCAAACATAGCATAACAACTATATTCTTACCAGATAAAAAAAAAATTATATCGTAATATTAATAATTGTACACCGACCGACAGGAAATCGATTTCAAGGAGGGATTTTATGCCACGCAAATCCAATGGAAAATAAAACGTGAACCACAACAAAAACATAAGTATCGATGTTGTTTTTAAAATAAACGTACCAATTTTTTAAAAACCTGATGGGTTAAATACTGGTTTAATTTTAAATGATAAAAAAAATTAAAGTTGATATTAATAAAATAGTAATAATATATATATATATAATATTAAATATGTAAAACCTTAATTTTATAACATTAAATTTTAAAATAAAAAGCATTTTATAAGCTTTTGAATACACTTTTTTTTTTGTAAAAAAAAAAAGGTTTAAGTGAGTTTAGTGACTAAGACAAGTTTCAAGGCTCTATGAACACTTATAAAGATACTTTCAAATGTTTTACATAAATCATTCTTACATTCTTCTAAAATACAAGTTTGTTCCTAACTAATTATACCAATCTTTGTTGATTTTTAAATATACATAAAAGTTCAAATCAAATATACATTTATATTTGTATTTAAGTTTTAATAAAAATATATTAAGTTTGTAACAACCCGATAAGTCATTGCATTTATTATTGAACAATTACTGCATAGCAGAAAACTAAACAATATGCATTAGATTTAGAGTTTATAATATCGTTAGTACCTAATATTATGTACACAACAATTATATACAAAATATAATACTCAGAGTAAAATAAACCCAAGTGTCGATTGATATCTATGCAAAACCTGATTACATAAGAGTAGCATATAACAAAAGTAAAACTAGCCACATCTAGCATGACTATCCTCCATCTCTACAAATTATTTAGCTAATCTTGTCATGCTTTCATACTGAGTATGATCATTGCAATTCCTACCACAAGAAAAACACAAGGTAAGCTAGCGAAAAGAATTCAACATAATAGCTTATAAAAACATCATCATGTTGTAACAATTCAACTTAAAACAAGACAACATCATCATCATAGCAACTTAACATCTCGCAGCCTGTTCATCACGTCAATATATATATATATAATCATCTAATGTGTCATCATGCATACCGACTATAGGGGTCTCTTACATTTTATGGTGAGTAATTCAATTGGGTTGACCCTATCAAATCATAATGACTAGTATAATACTAGAAACAACAGTTGATATTAAGGTCGGGAACAACGACTAGCACAAGGCTAGAAACAATGGCTAACATAAGTAAGATTGATTTCTTATGTTTCACCACTTAAATAAGAAAGTATGGTACTATTTCATGATAGAACAGTTTGGATATGGGTCTATCATGACATTAATCTCCAACACTAGGCCACCTTTGGGACTAACCCACTAATTATCCTCCAAATACTACAATCCTCCGATGTTAGGTTAGAGACTAAATTCTCGACCTAGTACTTTACTCGGTTGGTTGTTTTATATACGTGTGTCTTGACCTTGCCCAACACAAATACCATATAGCACCTATAGGAGACAACTAATAAACAATTTACCCATTTTGAGGCTAGCTTACCTACTAAAAGATTTCAACCGGATTCTAAGAGCACCGCAACATATATCCACACAATGGGATATTAAGTTAAAAAACATATTTAATTCCCCTCTAATTTTTATATATAGTAGTTAAGATATGTATATAATCCACATACATGTAGCTTATCAACTTAACAACTTTATCATCTTTCAACATTCAACTTCTCAACCTTAATAATGTACAACTAATACAACATTCCAATTTCAACTTCACAGCATGTAAACTTAAACAACATAAACATCATGCATCTTTCACAACTTTAAAGGAACAACATCAGAAAATTAACTTAAGCAATAACTTACTACACAACAACTCATATCATTTGACATCATCATTCATATAACTATGTCCTCATGATTCAATCGCCAGCAATTTAAGCAAAACAACTTTACATCATACCATTCATTCACAGTTGATCAACTTTTAAACAACACTAACTAACAATTTCTCATTATATAGTTTGCGTCCGACATCAGCAAGACAATGAGTTCATTGTCTCGTCCACGCCCAACATCACATCACATGCGCTTGGTGGGATTGAGGCAAAGTATACCCTCAGTCTCGCACTTGGTTTGGCAACATCCAGGCCTAACCCTAATCAAGCATAGAGCTCTCTACCTGATTCACGTTTGGTGGCACATACTTAACACCCAAAGTGAACCCAGGCAAAGACGAGCCTCTCATCTCATGTCTGACGCCTTTCAACTTACGTCTGACATGATTCTAATCCTAGACAAGTATTTCTCCTCACGTTCGACGCCACCAATATTGTGTCTAATGTGAGTAAGACAAGGACCTCTCTTTTAAAACCACGCCTGGTGCCTTAAAGGCACACCCAATGCGATATCAAATTTTACACTTGTGCAAAACCTGATTTCGCCCAATTTCCTAAAAATCAACAAATTCTAACAATATGCAACACAATGAACAACATTTATACAACATAATTTCATCATAAAAAATAACATGCGATTGGAATCAATCCTGGCTTCGAGCATGAGCCTCCACGAACACCCATGAACAAGAAAATCCATGGAAAACCACTTTCAACATCATCATTCAATCACTCAACACCTTTAGGTAATTAATCCTAAACATCACAGCCACAAAATGCACCCTTAAATTTAAAATCACAGCTTCCCTTACCTCTCGGAGAATGAATCCGCAAGAGGAGAAGGAAAAGAAAATGACTCCATGCTCCGATTGCTAGAGCTTTAACCTCGAAAACTCAAATCTTCACCACCCTAACTGGAACTAGCTGAGAAAGGAAGGAAGGAGAAGAAGGAGAGGAGTTGAGTTATGTGGCTTCTCTCTTGTAGTTATAGAAAACATAAATTATGAGTTTCCTTTTGAAAAAATTTCCTTTTATACCTTTCATAAATCAATTTCACTTATTTTTGATCCAACCCTCCAAAAATTAACATGACCTAAAGGTCTTCCAATCCCAAAAATCTCAGTAGCAACTATTAAATCAACAACATGGTTATGAGATGATAGTGTTACAAAGTTCTCTAACAATGACAAACTTATCTAAAGTTAAAAAAAAAAAAGACATAATTAAAGTTCATAAATTAACATAAATAACTAAATTATATTTTTATATATATAAAAAAAACAATGAACAATATTCAAAACTACGGAACGTGTAAACTCACTCCTCTCGATAACAAACACAGCTATACATTAATACATGGCAAATTTAGAATACTTTATAACAATCTGTTGAAGTCCTTCTACTACAAAAGAGCTGGCAAATAAACTTATGTTATTATTTAAATTGTTTTAAATATATCATGTAAATTAAATAAAAAAATTTATACCCTCTTAGAATACACCAAACATAAATTCGAAATTGGACTGAATATAGACTTAAAATTGAATTGGTTTACCTCTTTAGCAACAACACATGGAGTCTCTCAAAATGCATTTAGTTCGCTTCAATAATGCAACAAATTCAGGTGAAGGACCTTAATGAGAAT